TGGCTCCCACGTCACATCCTCGGTGTTGGAGGACGGGGCGTCGACCCGTTGGCTGGGCAGCTAAGGTTGCTGCCAGCCCACATCCCGGCATGGACGCGCGGTGCTCACGTCACATCCTCGGTGCTGTGGCTGGCCTCCTCCTTCCTTCTTCCGTGAAATCGACCGATCCAAAATGAAAATTCAAGCAACTCACTTTAGTCACATATAGCCATTGCAATGAAATATATACACGCATGACTCGGCGTGACCAACGACTTGACCAATGAAATATAGTCCTAATTTTCGGTGGCATGCTTGTGGTGGCGTTCACATGTGCGCGCGGAGGACTGACGAGAGGATGGCCGTTGTATTTTTCTAACAAATCGTTTCCAGTGAGCAAACTCAAGTCAAGTGTCACTAAGAAATCTGGCAAGTCAAGTGGCACTGCATCTTTCACACGGTGGTATACATATCATGCAGCGCGCTAGGACAGTGCAAACCGGAACATCCCTCGTCATTTAGCTCACTTGCACCCACCCATATGACCGAGCACGTGCAAGCTTAAGTTTAAATAGAATATGTGGGGTTCGTTGCGCCCCATGAAATACTAGTGAAAGTGAAAGCTCTTATGGATCATTAGCAGATGTTGTCCAGAGCATGCAGAGCCGCACTTGCCTTGGGGTCGCAGATACTTTGTCAAAGCCTCCATGCAAAGACAATACGGCACATGTTTACATTAGTAGACTCGCACGTTCAACACCTAGTTAAATTAACATACAAGCACATGATGCATGGAGCGATTAACACTGAAACGCAAGAAAATGGAGAACCTGCACCAAAAATCATGACTCGGCCTCTCTTCTTCCCCGCACCAACCATCTTGCGCACCTGCCACCATCGTGAAGCGGTCAAAGCCACACCAACCCACACCCGGCACCCACCCTGCCTACTTAACCCTTCCTCAACCTCCATTCCTCTCCAAGAAGAGCTCACCTTCATCTGCAACTTGAGCTCTCTCCACTCCCCAGCGCACAACCGATCAATCCACAAGACCACAACTCATCCAGATCAATACACATACACCTGCCCAGTTTCTAGCTTCCTGGTGTTCGTACTTCTTTGCACACCACGATGGAGTGCGAGAACAGAGGGCACGTTGCCGCCAATGGCGATGGCTTGTGCGTGGCGCAGCCGGCGCAGGCCGACCCCTTGAACTGGGGGAAGGCGGCGGAGGATCTGTCCGGGAGCCATCTTGACGCGGTGAAGCGCATGGTGGAGGAGTACCGTAGGCCGGTGGTGACCATGGAGGGCGCCAGCCTGACCATCGCCATGGTCGCCGCTGTGGCCGCCGGCAGCGACACCAGGGTGGAGCTCGACGAGTCCGCCCGCGGCCGCGTCAAGGAGAGCAGCGACTGGGTCATGAACAGCATGGCCAACGGAACCGACAGCTACGGCGTCACCACCGGCTTCGGCGCTACTTCTCACCGGAGGACAAAGGAGGGCGGCGCTCTGCAGAGAGAGCTCATCAGGTACGAATAAGTTACACTAAACGACCAACAAATTAGTTATTTCAGTTGTTCATCGTCAATACTCCTTATTTTTCTGTGATCTGGAAACCTTATTGTTTCGTGCACTTCTTGTTTGTTCAGATTCCTTAATGCCGGAGCCTTCGGCACAGGTGGCCACGAACATGTTCTTCCTGCCGCAGCAACAAGGGCGGCGATGCTTGTCCGTGTCAACACTCTGCTCCAGGGGTACTCCGGCATCCGCTTCGAGATCCTCGAGACGGTTGCTGCCCTTCTCAACGCCAACGTGACACCATGCCTGCCGCTCCGGGGCACGATCACCGCCTCCGGCGACCTTGTCCCGCTTTCCTATATCGCAGGCCTGGTGACCGGCCGGGCAAACTCCGTGGCCACTGCCCCAGACGGCAGCAAGGTTAACGCGGCGGAGGCATTCAAGATCGCCGGCATCCAGCATGGCTTCTTTGAGCTGCAGCCCAAGGAAGGGCTTGCCATGGTGAACGGCACGGCAGTGGGCTCCGGGCTTGCGTCCATGGTGCTTTTCGAGGCTAACATCCTGAGCCTCCTTGCCGAGGTTCTATCCGCCATCTTCTGCGAGGTCATGAATGGCAAGCCGGAGTACACAGACCACTTGACCCACAAGCTGAAGCACCACCCCGGGCAGATCGAGGCCGCCGCCATCATGGAGCACATCCTCCAAGGAAGCTCCTACATGGCACTCGCAAAGAAGCTCGGCGAGCTTGACCCGTTGATGAAGCCAAAGCAAGATAGGTATGCGCTTCGCACATCGCCGCAGTGGCTTGGCCCCCAGATTGAGGTCATTCGTGCTGCAACCAAGTCGATCGAGCGGGAGATCAACTCCGTCAATGACAACCCACTCATCGACGTCTCCCGTGGCAAGGCCATCCACGGTGGAAACTTCCAGGGCACGCCTATCGGCGTGTCCATGGACAACACAAGGCTCGCCATTGCTGCGATCGGCAAGCTCATGTTTGCCCAATTCTCGGAGCTCGTGAATGACCTCTACAACAACGGTTTGCCTTCCAACCTCTCCGGCGGGCGCAATCCGAGTTTGGACTATGGCTTCAAGGGAGCTGAGATTGCCATGGCCTCATACTGCTCTGAGCTCCAGTTCTTAGGCAACCCGGTCACCAACCATGTCCAGAGCGCCGAGCAACACAATCAAGATGTCAACTCTCTTGGTCTCATCTCCTCCAGGAAGACCGCCGAGGCCATTGACATCCTCAAGCTCATGTCCTCCACATTCATGGTCGCCTTGTGCCAGGCCATCGACCTCCGCCATCTCGAGGAGAATGTTAAGGATGCCGTCAAGAGTTGTGTGAAGATGGCGGCCAGGAAGACATTGAGCACCACCAAGAATGGGCACCTCCACAATGCGCGATTCTGCGAGAAGGACCTGCTGCTCACGATTGACCGTGAGGCGGTGTTCGCGTATGCAGATGACCCTTGCAGCGCCAACTACCCACTGATGCAGAAGATGCGTGCGGTTCTCGTGGAGCACGCCTTGGCCAATGGTGAGGCCGAGCACGACATGGAGACATCTGTCTTTGCCAAGCTTGCCGCATTCGAGCAGGAGCTCCGTGCGGTGCTACCAAAGGAGGTTGAGGCTGCCCGGTCCTCCGTGGAGAACGGCACCGCCACACAGCATAACCGTATCACTGAATGCCGGTCATACCCGCTCTACAGGTTCGTGCGCAAGGAGCTTGGGACTGAGTACTTGACTGGGGAGAAGACACGGTCTCCTGGGGAAGAGGTAGACAAGGTGTTTGTCGCCATGAACCAGGGCAAGCACATCGACGCGCTGCTGGAGTGCCTAAAAGAGTGGAACGGTGAGCCCTTGCCTCTCTGCTGAACAGAGGATCAAGAAACTGAAGAGAAGACTGTGTGCAGAAGGCTCTGTATCTTCTTAGCTGATAAGTGATAATATTTTTTCAATTGTATTTTCTTAAGAATCGATGTTTTGTGGAATGGAACATTCTTTCAGAGCTGCCATGTTGTTGCCAAAAATTGCAACTGCATAACTTGTACAACTTCTATGATGTAAGTTATAGAAGGGTACTGTGTATGATAATATTTGTGATAAATGTATTGGTCTTTTTTTACAACAGTTGTCTGGTGGAGATCCACACCGAACATGATTAATATGATGTGATGCCTTCTATTAATTCTTTCTGTTGACCAATTACAGTATGACATGTAATGGAAGCAGGATTGTAAAGGGTTTGGTTTGGTTTTACTGCTCAGATGCAGGTGAGTTGTCTCTCTCTATTCCTGAATGGTCATAAGTCTAAACGGATATAGCATCGGGCTCCTTTTTCTTTTCCGTTTTGTGAACCTTGTGAGAAATCGCAAATTCTATTATAAGAGATCTTTCACGTTATCCTTGAATGAAACCGGCCAAATGTACTTAAATCCAAATAATCTATCCCACTTACGCTAATTAGAAAAATAATCTTATCCCTGTTTTGATGTTTTCCCAAGATTGTCACATGCTCCATGCATGTGAGTGTTGTACATGTGAACAGCAATCAATGATGAGGGAGGTGAATGATACCACTGGGCAAGGTTTGTTTAATGTTCTAAAAGAGGAGTTGAATAATCTTAGCCTTGATGTGGACAATGTGAGAGGGCAGGGTTATGATAATGGGTCAAATATGAAAGGAAACAATAAAGGGGTACAAAAGAAATTTCTGGACAAATATCCAAGGGCATTTTATTCAGCTTGTGGTTGTCATAGTCTAAATCTGGCACTATGCGATATGGCGAAGTCTTGTCGTAAAGCAACAGACTTCTTTGGAATTATACAACGCATCTATACAATGTTTGCTAATTCGACTAAACGATGGCAAATTCTCAAAGATAACTTAAAGAAGTTGACTGTCAAGTCATTGTCATCTACTCGTTGGGAGAGTCATGTTGAGAGTGTTAAGGCTATACGGATTCAAATGCCAGAAATAAGGGAGGCTTTACTACAAGTGGCTGAAACTGATAAGGATCCATTGACAAGTAGTGAAGCACAATCATTGGCAGAAAATGAACTTGGTGGTTTTGAATTTTTAGTGTCAATAATTATCTGGTATGATATATTATCCGCTGTTAATTTGGTCAGAAGCAGCTACAATCAAAGGACATGCTTATTGATATTGCAATTGAGTCTATACAAGGTCTGCTTTCCTTTTTCAAGAAGTATAGAGAAACTGGCTTTTCAAAAGCATTGGAAGAAGCAAAAGAAATTGCACTTGAGATGGATATTCATCCAGAGTTCCGCACCAAGCGGAAAATCAAAAGAAGAAGACATTCGATGAGGGTGCAGATGATGCATCTATTGCTTCACAATCTGCAGAGGAGTCATTTAGGGTTAATTATTTTCTGCAAGTGGTCGATCAAGCTATAGTTTCACTTACCAGGAGGTTTGAGCAATATCAGGGATATGAAAAAACTTTTGGTTTCTTATTTACTTCAGATAGGCTGCAATCTATGGATGATAAGAGTTTGCTGGCTGCTTGTGTTAATCTTGAGGATGCACTTAAGAATGGAGAACACAAAGATATTGATGGAGCTGAATTGTTTTACGAGTTAATTTTCATCCAGGATTTAGTTAAGAAATCTATGAGCCCTGTTGATATTCTTGAGATTCTAATGAAGCGCCCCTTCTATCCTAATGCTATTATTGCGTATAGGATTTTGTTAACCATTCCTGTAACTGTTGCAACTGCGGAAAGGAGCTTCTCTAAACTCAAGTTGCTGAAATCATATTTGCGTTCAACTATGACACAAGAAAGACTCAATGGTTTGGCGACAATAGCACTTGAAAATGATGTCTTGGAGAAGATTAATTATGAAGATGTAATTGAAGATTTCATTTCAAGGAACACAAGACGGATGACACTTTTCAATAGAGAATGAGGTCAGTTTATTGGTTTTAGTATTTCGCATTGATACTTCAGAATATTCTAAGCATTGTATGAAATAATATAAATTTTAATTACATAATTAGGTGATTATGCTTGCATAATTGTATATTTTTTAAAATTTAGGGCCCCATTTTTCTTTTCGCATCGGGCTCCCGAATTCCTGGAGACGGCCCTGTGGATGGGGTTGGGGCGGCCGGCGCGACCGTCACAGCCGGCACAGCGGGGGCGGCCGGGGCGACCTGCTGGAGAGGTTCGGCAGCGAGGGTGCCGGCTGCGTCGTCGAGAAAGCCAGCTGCGCCATCGACAGAGGAACGGGGAGAGAGGACGGGGTTGCCGTCCATGGAGGGAGCGGAAGCAGGATCAACGGGCGGCGCAAAAAGGTTGTGCAGGCCGTTGGCGTCTGATGCCATGTTGGGAGAAGGAAAGACATAGGATTCAGCACACATCCATTATGCTCAAGGCTGGGTGATATATACAGGTTGCTGGACTCAGCCGAGCGGGATCGTGGGTATGCCACTACCACTAGACGTGCAGCACTCCTCAAACAACTGCTGCACGATCATGGCTATACCGTATGGCGTACTATACAGGGCACATACGGTATAGAACTACCTAGTCTAACACCTATCGCGTCGCTAGCGGAGAAAACTTGGTTGTGGTTCTTTCGCCTTACAGGGAGGAGTGGAAGGAACTGTCAGATAGTTTGATTCAAGCTTATGGTTTTTTTGTTTGAACAAAAACACCCCAAAGAGCATTTTAAATCTGATTAATATCAAGGAAAATAAAGACCAGCCCAATGGGTAGACAACAAGACATAGAACGACCAGTACAAATCAAATTGCAATAAAAAGCATACTAGTCTTCTTCCTTTGGTTGTTAATGTCATCCGTGTGAGATTGAAAATTACACTGAGCCAACAACAAAGAAATGGGACACATGTGAATGCCCTCGCCATACTAGAATTTAAAGACCGCAATAGCCACTCGCACCTTGGGACAAGATCTAAATATCGTTGAAGCAACATCGGTTGGAGCATCACCCCACATAGAACAGTCTTGAAATCCATCACCATCAGCACAGAGGGCTGGAGAAACTGGGCCAAGTCACATAACAACACAAAAGAAGATGTAAAATTCGCCACACCAATAGGCAGCCATAAGCTCTCACTGAAAGACACACGAACTATCAAGATCTGAAGGGAACAAAAACTCTCAGAAGTTCTTCGTCGGCGCCAGCTTGGACGTCGTCGACGTAGGGAAAACCTAGATAGACCTTATTCCAACAGCAACAAGTCATCACCACCACCACCCTGCCAATGTCATCGGAGAAGTACAAGCCTAAAAAAACAAGACGGACTAACGGTCCCTGCTCCTCTTTCCGCCAATCAGGCCGCCAGACGGAGAAGAGGAGGGGGACCGAAGCTGTGGTGGTAGTTGTGGCGGCGACGACTAGGTTAGGAGGCGGGCGTCTAGATGGTTGTAGGAATGTTCGAGACCTACTGCCATGCGGTGCGGGATGCTCCTGGCGGAAGCTTAATTATGGTTAGTAAAATTCTTTAGCACGAACTTTGCTACACCTATGGGGGTTTACAAAATGACATGTCAGTTTCTAATTGGCCATCATTGGGGGCGCAGGCCCATCCTGAAAACACGCGCGCGTGTGTGTTGGAGGGATGGGGGGCGGGGGGTTGGATTTTTTTTTGCGGGGTTAAAAGGGATTTTCATTGCTCAATGGGAAACCAGGTTGTCCATACAAAGTTGGGGTACATCCATAGGGCCTGACCTCAACCAAACTGCAGTCCTAGCCTCTACGCGGCCAAACGTGGCTAATCTATGACTAACAGAATTTTGATTCCTGCTAATGTGAGCAATAGAGCTATCCCTTTCACCTAGGAGACGTTTCACTTCCTACACTATCATCGCCTGTGGCGACCTATCCAGAGTGTCAGATTTAATGAGTTTGACGGCATATTGACAGTCCATCTCTACGTCCACAGGCAGCTAGGACCATTGCAGCGCAAGGTTGAGTCCTTCCGAGCATGCCATGAGTTCTGCTTGTAATGGTCCTGAGCAAGATAAAATGGACCTGCATATGCCGAGAAGAAGATGGGCCTGAACTATCCCGGAGGATCATACCTGCTCCAGCTTCACCACTAGCTTCAATGAAGGGGCGTCGACATTTAGCTTCACCCGGCCAGCTGCAGGTGAAACCCAGCAAGCGGGGGTGTTTGATTACTGGAGAAGGGGTGCTTCGAGTACGTGAGATTCGTATGTAGGTCTAACATTTTGTGTGTATATATATCCATGCATTTTTTAATTTTGTAAAAAAGGAGGTTGAAACTCTTGATCTCTGCATCACTGTGATGCACGTGGCCATCTCTACTATCTAAAAAGAAGAATCAATTACATCGGTGATGCTTAAACTTGGCGCAAACGATCATTTTGGTGTTAGAACTTGTGGCATACATTGAACTGGTGCAAACTTCGCTCAGACATGCAAATACGGTGCTAATCGCATTTGGATACGAAATCGATGCCGACTTGGTGCGCCAGCATGGCATGGGCCCCACTGTGAGTGATGGGAAGGTGTAGAGAAGGTCTGTGGCCTTCTTTTGCGAAAACACACTCAAAAAATTTATTTCTCACAAAAAGCACCTATCAATGCAGCAGCTGCCATTTCATTTTGACTCTATGACATACAGGGCCTGCCCGTCAGTACATGAAAATAAAAACAGATCAGACGCCCCATGCCTCGAACTCAAGACCAACTGCTGGATAGCTAGCCGTCCAAATAACTCCATAATTCACGTTTGCAATGAGAAATACTGATAACAATTCTTAATGTAGTACAAGGAGGACGCAATGGGACTTATCTGAACTGCAAATAGCGTGGCACATTTTGCATGCACTAACTTTTTAATACATTTGTAAAACATAAGTAGTGCGATCCCAGCCGAAAGAGCTCCCCTCCCCTCGCGTCGCCCCTGCTCGGGCGACTCGGGGGTCCAAACCCTAGCGCCGCCGCCTCCTCCCCCCCTTCCCCCCTTGCCGCCGCCGCCAGGCAAGCCCGGGGTGCCGCCGAGGAAGGTGGCGGCGGGGCCCTGGCTGCCCTGCCTCTTCTGCGGGGGGCCGAGGTCCTCGGGGCGGCGGCCCTGTCGGAGAGACGTCACCGGCCCTGCGACAGGCGGTGGCGGGGGCGTGGGCCGGTGAACCTGGCCGTGTGGACGGCGGATGAACCGGAGGATGGGTGGCGTGGTGCAGCGGCAGATCTGGCCGCCCCTGCCTCCCCTGTTTGGCGAGCTCCTCCCCGGCCGGATCGGGCCTGCTCCTCTGCGGGCCGCCCGGTCTCGCGCCGTTGGGGTAAGGGTGGCGGGGATTCGAAGACCGGGAGAAATCCCAGGCCGGCCTCGCCGGTCTTGGCGGCGGCGACACTCGAGGGCGCCGCTCCCCTCCTTGGAGGCGCCGTTCAGGTCAGATCCGCCGCCCCCTTCCCCTCTAGTCTCCCGGGTGAAAACCACAACACTGTTGGGCGGCGGCGGCGCCCTTGGCGTCGCGTTCCTTCCTGAAGGCGCCGTCTTTGGGAGCTAGGTGGGCATTGGGCTTGCTCGGCGATGTGGTGGGTGTGCAGCGGCGGAGGTAGCTGGCCGCTAATGCTCTTCTCCGCCCGTTCCGGCATTTCTTTCTCATTCATGTCCAGTTGGTGGATTTGGTGGTGCTCTGCTCTAGGTGAGCACTCCGTGGCTTGTCGGGTGCGCTCAGTTCCTTTTCCAGATGCAGCTTGCCGGTGTCCTTCCTCCCAGGTTCTAGGATGAACCGCGACACTGTCAACGGTTCGGTGCCTTCGATTCAGGCGAGGAGGTAGGGGCTTTCTTTGACAGTGGAGCTGGGAGGACATGGCATGTCGGGGCCGCTGGCGATTTGGCGACGGTGTTCCCTTCCTCACTGTCGGAAGTGCTACTCCTGTGCTGACATTCTCCTACTTCCTTGATGACTCGTACGCGATTGAGGACCTACACATCTCCGAGCTGCGTGTCTCCATGTTCGATATATTTAGCTTGGTGTGTGTGAGGCTTGTGAGCTGCTGTCCACCGTCTTTCTTTGTACCTTGTCGTTTTTTTTTTGTTTTCTTGTGTTGGTTTCGCGCTTGTATTATTTTTCCTGGCCGGTTGATGACTTTGTTAATTCAAAACCAGGCTCCTCTAGAGCTTTCGTTTTAAAAAAAACACAAATAGTGCAAACATTATATACAAACAATGATTAGTAAATAAAATCATTTAAATATACACCCATGTATTATAAAAATGTTTGGTAAATACAGACATTTAAATATATATTAAATAAAATATTTAATGGATACAAAAAATTATGCACTTGTAACTTATATTTAAATTACAAAATGATCAATACAAACATTCATGCGGTATAATTTTCACTCGTGATTTATATTTAAAAATATTTTATAATTTAAATATTAGCCACCAGTGAATATTCGTATGAAAGTTTACTGTTGTCCAGTCTGATTTTGTAATTTTCACTGTTTCTAATAAGAGCTGACCAGTCTGATTTGCTACTACTCCCTCTGTCTCAAAATAAGTGTCTCAACTTTGTATTAGCTTTAGTACAAAGTTATACTAAGGCTAAGACACTTCTTTGGAACGGAGGAAGTACGAAATATGTGACCTCGATCAATTTTGTGAGCCATCCGGTCTAAATTGTACAGCTGTGGGTTCTTATTGTACCTCCAGCCTCTTCTTCCTCCGGCTCTTCTTCCTCGGAACTGGATCCTCTAGCATAAGAGGGAAAGTCAGAGAAGCTGCAGTACCCTAACTTTCTTCTTTCTATCCATATGATTAAGGCTAAAATGACTTAAATTAATTTACAAATTAATGATCTATTGTGTACATTTATAATAATTATATACATATAAATTGATGGTGAAATAAAATTAATTTTAAATTATTTATATCTACAGTAAACAACCTGCTAACTACCT